GTTCATCAGGAGAAACCATCAATGCGTTCGTTTGTAATGGAGGTTGAATGTGATGGGGTGGGTAAGGGGAACTTGGCAAAGGTGTCGGTGGCATAGTCGATGTAGGTGGTGGAGTCGACGTAGGAGATGAAGTCGGTGGAGAAGGCCAGGCAGGTGGAGCGGTGGGTGCCGAAGGAGATGGGAAAGTCGAAGGAGCGGTGTGCGCCATTGTGGGTTCGGAGGTCAAAGGTGCAGGCATGGTGGGTACGAGCTGTGGGCCTGGTACTGCATGAGGAGCCGGAGACAATGAGGTAAACGGCAACGATGTTGGGGATGATGTAGACGGCATGATCGAAGCTGAAGAAGACCATGTAGGATGCAAGGCTGAAGGATGTCCAAATAGATGTACGTTCTGTGATGATTGCGGCCACGTCGGAGGTGCGTTCGTAGGCTGCGGTGGAACAGGCCAGGACGTTGGCGGAGGGTTCCACGGATGCATCGCTTCAGTAGATGAAAACAAAAGTGAACAATCACATACAGGATTCAGTCCCTAACTGCCTAAGATGTCGTGCAATTATTCCCTGCACCGGGACCGTGGTCAAGTCGTGCCACGAAGGCATAAAACAGCTTCCAAATTCCAACGAATTAGATGCACAAAATGTTTCACCTCACCAAAAACCAAAGAGACCACACCTGCAGGAAAAGGACATGCCTGTTGCCTTTTGTCGTGAATGTCATGTTGAACTTCAAATGCGCAAGCTGCAGAGAAAAAAGGTTTCTGGTAGTTCGAAGTGGCTTCACTCAATAGAGATGCATTCACTGGGTTCATAAAGGACAGCCGGAAGCGCGGGACATCACAAAAGGTGCAAAACGGAAAGGCCAGCTGTTGCACATTACGTAAACGAATTACCAAATTAAAATGTGTGAATTCAGAGTTCAAGACTGTCAACACTCACCCTGAAAAGGGTTGCCTCAAGTGGCTCCATGGCACCATGTCGGAGCCACCATGGAAATCACACTAGACAAGAATGGATCATTATATGATCCGGCAGGAACTGAATCCTGAAACATGCAAACCAGCCTAGATCGTTAGATTAGTAAAGGAGCCACATGAGGTACTTCTCGAAAACGATGTAGGGCATCCAATGTTGTCAAACGAAGTCAAAACCAGAATCCATAGAGTTTTAACCAGCATGTTGAGAATCCACAATAATGTTTCGGCGATTGTTTCCCAAAATAACCCAAAGTTCGTCGGCGACATGATCTCGGCGAAAATATGTCAAAAAATCATAATACTGTCGGCGATATGGTTTCGGCGAAAATCTGAGGAAGGTTCTGATGCATGCAATACAGATTGTGGCAACCGTGTAGATTCGAAACAACGCAGTGTAACAGCTTGATCAACAGTTGAAACCAAATTTTGCAGGTACACAGAGTTGATCAGACTCTGCTTCCAGCACAAGTGGATAGCTTCGTTGGGTGCAGTCTCCACTGTGCTCTGCACCCCCCTGCAAACTAGTGAAAACCAATCAGAAGTTTTACATCTGTTCAGATGGTACACACACACACACACGCCCCGCAGCAGCGGGGCCTTTTAAGGCTCCGACAAATGAGATGACGGTGAAGATGAAAGGGAAATGGAAATGAGATGACGATGGAAATGAGATGACAGCTACTTAACCGGGACACGAGACGGGGAACGCAAAAGAGGAGAGGAAAAAGGGAAAACACCAACACCAACACACCTAGCCCAGGCGGGCAAACCCTGAAAGGGCAAGGGAAAAGAAAAAGCGGACGGACGACGGGCCAAACAGCGACCAGAGGAGGGGGGGCGGACAGAAGCGCCTGACACAACCTACAAGGCGAGAGCCAAAACCTACCTCGGCACGCGAAAGACCCAAACCTGACCTAGAGAGGGAGCACGCATGAGATAGGGCACCAATGGGGAACTAGTTGATGAAAATTGATGCATCCACAAACGCATGCAAAATCTCGTGATAAGGCTCAAGGCCCTCGAAGTTCAAGTCACAACCCTCTGGACGGCTTAAGTGGTCAACCCTCGACAATTAATGCACAACTGAACCTCACCAACGACCATTTAAAAAAAGAATCACCATACCTGCAAGCATGTCCTGTGTCTGTCGTCACATGTTGCATGACCAGAATGACATGAGTCTCTCTCTCGAGCATTGCTGAAAAAAGAAAAGGTTGTCGCAGCTTCCAGCTATGCATATCAGCACAAAGGAAAAAGGTGAGTCCAAACAGCGGGAAACTTTTCAACACGGCGACAATCGACAAGGTGAGAAGCGAAAAATGGCCGGCTGTTTCACTTTACTTAGACGAATTACTAGAATAAAAGTGTAAATTCAGAGATCAAGTCGGAGGATCAAAGTTCCTACCTAGAAAGGTATCCCCGAAGGGTTCATGCCACCTTGGCGAATCCAGCATGAGTCGCACACTTGCTCCGACCTGTCATTGCGAATTCTGTTGTGGAGTGCATCTGACGTCAAAAACAATCCGGTTACACCTGACAGGAACAGGAGGGTGTTTGGTGTGGACTGAAAGGAAAATTCTTTCGTCGCTGCCTTGAAGAATGGAATAAAATCAATAGAAGCCAGGAGAAACTCCGAAATATCAGCAGAAAATTGGAGTGGACAAGAGATTCACCGCAGTCTCAGATTGCGCCAACTGTGAAGAAAGATAAATGAGAAGTCACCTTCATCCGTTCATGTGCTGAATTCAAAAATCCTGATGTGATTCTCGTTGAAAAACGGCATAATGGTTTTTGGGTTGGCCACACCCCATCACGATTCAAAAATTGCAGGTACGTTTGCACAGAAACTTGGATGGGTCTTCGTTGGCCCATGCCATCCAAGTGCCCATGGGCCCCCTGCGAAACTTAGAAGTTTTACATCTCTTCAGATGGTTCACACACACACACACACTTTGAAAAGCACAGTCTTCCCTCAACACAGCTTGCAAACACATGCATTGTTGTCTCCGAAAAGTGTTGTATCGCTTCACAAAAGGAATACATGACTTATTCCCTTCAAATATCTATATAGCATTACTTGAAGTTCAAGAAACTCTTTCCTAAAGCAGCAGTCTATGTTAAAAAGATTCACCTTTCAACATACACGTTTTATTCAAAGGATGCAGGATTACTTACAACAAGCACCCTTCCTTTCAAACAGTTGGATTCCTTTGAAGAAGTGCCGTTTTGTTTTTAAGGAGAGACCTTTTCTTGAAACAAATGCAATTGTGTTAGAAGCAGATCTTCTTCTCAAATAAACATGTTTAATGTAACGTATGCAGATCTCCTTTTCCAAAGTTTGGCATACACTCACGTACAAACCACAATTCCTCCAAGAAGGAAACCCTTCTTTGGCAAAATGCACAGGACCCCTTTACAAAAGATACAGTGTCCCCCTTGACAATGTGTCCCACTTGAAAGGATCTATGTGATATTCCTTCCAAGCATCCCTGTACACAAGTGCAATGTTCTTTGAAAGAGGCAATTTTCATTCAGAAAATGCAGCATTTCTTGAAAAGGGACACTCCTTTTTCAAACAAACATTTTTTCATTTCAAGTATGCAGTATTTAAAGGAAAGAAATACATACCAACTTTTGAAAGCAACATGTCCCTTTAAGGAAGCAGTACTCTTGCAAAATTTCAGTGTTGCCGCCCCTGGAAGTGTGAAGGGTTTCTTTCAAAATGATACAATATTCCTTTTCAAGAAAATGAGAGTCCCTTCAAATGCATAGCATTACTCTCCAACGGTCGAAGCAATTCTGATTGACAATGTCCGTTGTTCTCAATGGACACGTTTATTTAAAGGACATAGCATTCCTTGAAGTATTGAGGATCCTTTGCAAATACGTACGTAGCATTCCTGCAAAGAAAGTCAGCGTTCTTCAAAAGAGGCGGTTTTCACCTAAAAGATGTAGCGTTTTTTGACACAAATGTTCTCTTCTAAGGAACTCTTCATTCCAAATAACGCACCATTGGTTTCAAAAGATTGAAGCATATACTGGCTTTAGAAAACATAGAAATAATGTAAAGAAGGTAGGATTTGTGCAATTTACACAGTGTCTCCTTCAAACATCACTTCTTTCAACAAGATGAAATTAAGGAAAAGACCTTTCTTACCTTTCAAATATGCAGTCTTCCTTGACAAAATGTTATCTTTCCATAAAGAAACTGTTTTCAATAGAAAGATGCAGTAGCTCTTACAAATAGTAGCCTCCGTTAGATCCTCCACAGAGAAACAACAAAAAACTACGGGTAAAACCAAAAAACATAAAACAATCTTTTGACACAGAAAAGATGGTTTCAGCCAAAAAAGTTGGATTTTTGGTTTTGCCTTAGTTGTTTTTGTTTTTTTTGTTTCCTCGAGAGGGTCTTTGGTTTTTTGGTGTTGAACTCCTAAAAACCCAAAACTCATGGAAAAAGTTTCTTTTTCATCAAAAAATATCATTTCACCTAAGTTGCTTTTTTGAGTTGTCTTGAGCTCAAAAACAGTTTTTTCCACGAGTTTTTCGGGTTTTTCATGCCAGCACATCTCAAAAAAACAAGAAAACCTAGGTAAAATTATATTTGCTGATGAAAAACCACTGGAGGTTACCCTGCTGTTTACATATATTGTGAATGAACAATGTGTCATTTAAAAAATACTGGAAAATACACAGTAAAATGCAGTTGGGAAAATTATAGAGATGAATGAATATGTATATGTGTATACATATATATATACAGATATGTATACATAGAAAATTAAACATATACATATATATATATATACATATTTATATACATATATATATATATATGTAAAATTAAACAGATACATATTTATATACATATACATATACATATACATATACATATACATATATATATATATGCTATACTCATACTCTAGACTCTGCACTTTAAAGCATGTATTGGGCCTTTCAGCAGTAGCATCTACAAGAGCATCTTTGAAAACTTGCAACTGGCGCCACAGCTTGGCCAAGAAACAGCATGTTCCATCTGCTTGAGCATTTTTTGGACCCGCTCCGGCTTGAGTGCACCTGAGAATTTCACACGAAGCATTGCCAACATCTACAACTGGACTTCCGAGACTGGGAATGGCTTTCCAAGCAGGAAACTCCAGGACCTTTGGCTGTCTCATCCAATTGGAGCAAAGCGACAATCTGGAATGATCACGTCTTGTCGGTTCTGAACTGCCAAGTTCATGATTTCCTTCTTCAGGTTCTCCACATGCTTCGTCCCCTGGCCGCTCAGCTTGTGCAAGCCGCTTCGGAGCCAAATGCAACAAACGGCTCGACGGCGTAAACCAACGGCGTCCCGTCCGGCCGTCCTTGAGGATGTCCCAGGCATCGGTGTGAAGCAAGTTGTGCATCAAGCCGTGCTGGGCAACCTGAAGTTTTTCAGCAGCAAAATCTCCCAATTTTCTCCAAATTGTAGTAAAAAATGGTGGTAAAGCCAATTTTCAGACAGCCATGGGGGCCATTTGACATACCTTTTGGTTCAATGAGGGTTACCCCCAGCGTCAGCAACCAAGCACCGGTCCTTGCTGAAGCCCTCATGGGCATCTCTCACATCATTTCCATCCACAACTCAGCGCACCACCCGTGTCACTGGATTTAGGGCCACCCCACAGTCACACAAAACATCACAAAACCACATAATAGATTTAATAGAATTGCAATAGGTGGCATCTTCCATAGCTCAAGCTAGACATGTTCAAGATGGCACCTGATGGCACCTGCTTCTTGTGGAACAGGTAAGATCAACTTACCAAAATACACAGATTCTGTTTTTGCAGTGCCAGTGCTTGGCTTCAGGCTCACCACTTTTCCGGGATTGTCAAAGAGGCTTTTGGCGACCTCATATCTGCGACTTGGATCTAGGAGGACGTCAAAATGATGTGGCTATTTACATGCCCATCTTTGGAGTCTCAACAACCGAAGCAAAGAAGACACCGGTGCATTCATTCCCATGTGCAAACAGCAATGGTGAGTGCGAGATGAATGACGTTAGATATTGGTGGTAGATCCATGAATAACTTGTGCGAGAGAACACTCATAAACCAGCAACATCTGAGGACACAGATGCCAGGCCGGCAAAAAGTGAAAGAATCTAAAAAGGGGCTCATGCGGGAATTAAGAGTGAATTGCAGAAAATGAAGTATTTATGTGTCATATGCATACATGATAGCTGTCTACCTACTTCTAAATGGACTTTGCGTCTCTTACGGTCCTCCATTTACCTGGGACTTCTTTCCAATAGGAGCTTGATGCAACGATATAGGATGCTGGGTAAAGAAAACACGACAGTCAAAAGAGTGGCTTCTGCATGGCTATGGGTAAGCTCACCCTGGTACCGTTCACAGCAAAATAGTTTGTGTTTATGGCTTTATGGATCTTCAGTCAATGTTCATCCTCCCATTCCCATGGTCCCATAGGTGTTCACCCACCCCTGGCCTCCATGCTAATGGTGGACTTTCCAACTGCTGGTGGGCCAAAGATCAACAAGGCCTGCCATGGACTCAATGAGGATTAAGGCGCTGAAAGGAATCACCACCCCACACTTTGAGTTGACTTTCGGGGCTGCAAACATAAGCATGTACCAGTACTACATGAATCTGCCTGTGTAACTTTGTGTATGTACATATGTATAAGTATATACATATATATAATATGCATATAGTGTGTGTATATATAGTAGAGAGAGAGAGTGTGTATATACATATATATATATATATATGTGGATACATCGTGTATATACACATACATATTTACACATCCTTGCTGTGTTTCAAAGCGATCTTTGCCCATCCCCTCCAGGCCTTAGGCCGATTTGGTGTTTGGACCCTCTTCGCTGTGTAGAGACCAACCTTAGTCATCAGCAAATGGGATTCGAATAAAACTGTCGAGTGAATCACAAACCTCAGGACTTTCATGTCAAAAATCTACAGTCTCGAGCTCTTGAGGCTCAAGACTTCTTAAATTGGACGTGTTTGTAGAGCTAAAAAGAAATCAAAACCACAAATCCAGGTCAAGTAGCTTGCTGAAATATTTGCTGCCTCTGCTCCTCTGTGAAGGGTTTGGTCCTTGGCGCATTCTTTACTGCCCTGGAGTTGGTGCCCACAGTGCTAAAAGCAACTATGTGAGTTCATCGTCATTTCCATCTGATGAGTGTAAGCATGAGGAAGGAAAAGAATGGGAACAACCTCTGCCTGGCATAGATTCTGGCTCAAAACTCAAGGGGTCCTAGGGAATCTGAGGTCACAAATCTTCTCAAACGATCTCAAAAAGCCAATTTATGCGCAATCTCCGACTGTATGCATCGAACATTCTTTGACACGTGTGGTGCGGTAAGCCATGAAAGACTCACCACAGTCACAAATTTTCTGATAGGCACCTTAACCAGTGTGTTTGCATATGTTTGCATTTGTTGTTTACTGCTCAATTCGCGTGCAAAATCAGTGCAACACGTTGAAGTGAGTGAAGATGCTGGCTATGTTGCAATCAGAGCAAACGTGTATCGTGACAGAATCAAATGGTGGAGAAAACATAAAGAGCTGGGATTTATCCCATTGATAACCAGGTTTTTCTGTATCACGTTTCTCAACAACGCACCAACTGGGATGCACATCCAAGTCGGAAAGTTACACTAAAAAGATCTAAAAAGCAGGTCTGTTAACTTGGCATCTAAGCACGTTGGTCATTCCACCATGCCCCACCATCAATGGGCGGCCAAGGCTCAACAACGATGCCAGCTCTGCTGGAATCTGATTTCGGACCACTCCTTGCAAGCTGATTCAAGTCTTGATAAATGATGATAAATGGATATGGGTCAGTTCAGCCGGGGACCCTGGCTTTATAGCTCGGCCGTCCCCATTCATGCGTGAAAATGCTAGATTCTAACCCATCCACAAATTGAATCACGACAACAAAAGCTGCATTCATTGGTCCGGTCGAGGTGCGGAAGATTTGGTCTCTACATCCTTTTCCTTTCAACAGGATGAAGTCATCCTGCGCCTGCGACAGTCCGAGACTGCCAGGAAAATGAAAAATTGCAGAAAAAAATCATCAAAAAAAGGATGCCAAAACTAGATGCTTCATGGGCGGATTGGTGAAATATAAGCAAGTTGCTTTATTCCGGAACACCATGGAACACCTATAGATGACTCAGCTGAACAGAATTTCGCGTCTGCCAGCCTTCGGTGCAGCCTCATTCATCATGCTCATGAGCTACAATGCTCTTGAGCCGAATTCTGCAGTACGAGTACTTCAAAAATTAAATACCTCGCATGACTCACATATTTGCTACGCCGCTACGCATTTCAAATGCCTTGCATGCTGGATAACAGTCCGCAATGCAATTAAAAATGCATCTGTCATAAACATCATAATTCATGTATGTATATATATACATATACATATTTATCTATATAATATGATATATATATATATTGTATAATATAATATATATATATATAATATTATATATAATATAATATATATATATATCAATTTAGAAAGCCTTGACAATATCCATCTTGCATCCTCCAAGAAGGTGATGGCAGATCCACCAGCTGCGGGTTCCTCTTCGCACCTCCTTGACGTTCTCCGGGGGAAGGCCCGCCAAAGACAGGAACTCCAGTGCCACAACAACTTTTTCCTGCACTTCTTTTGGCTGAGTCTTGTTCCCTCAAAGCTTGAACCACATTGTAGTTGGTTAATCTATCACCACAAGTTGGATGAACCAAAATCGACCTTGAGAGTAGCGCCTCATCACAAGCGCTGCGTGCCAAGAGGTCTAGACCTGGGCAAAACAACAGAAGGCTTGGTCCGTTTTGCCCACAGCCAAAAATGGATCAAAATGGTGGTTTCCTTGGTAGATTTGGTAGCTATTGGGTCATGGTCCTTGGTATTCGTGGGCTCCGGGCTCAGCTTGGGTGCGTCCGTGCATCGCAAGAAGTCGGCCTGGTGATGAAGATGTGTCCAACATTTGGCGATGTTACAGCAACCCATCATGTGTTTATATTTGTTTTTTGTATCTGACCAACAGAAAGTGGGAAGCAACCAGCCATGCTTCATATCTCAATTTTATGCTACCATCCGTGGGATGAACATCCAGCAATTTTGCAAAGGCTTTATGCAAAGCCTGTGGCGAGTGGTGTCGCAGCAAATGCCCCAAGGCTTTCAGGGACAAAGACTGAAGCCTCAGGATTTTGCTGAAAATGTCTGGCAAGAAGCTTTAGTGACTAGTGAGGTAAAGAGTGACGGTGAAAAAACAAAGTGGAGTGCCTCTGATACAACGACCCCATATCTCCTTGTAAACAAGGCCAAGTTGATGATGCAAACAAAAGGCAACAATCTGCGGTTCTATTTTGACAACGACAAAATCTAAAGCTTAGAACTTGAGATTTGCAGAATGCTTGCACGTGCACGTGCTGTGCTCCACGAGCAGCAAAATAGTCCAGCATTCTGAATCTTCCCGGGAAAATCTATCCCGAGGTCCATTATTTTGCCACCTGGTTTGCTTTCCTCTATCGGCGCTTGAAGATGTCTACCTCTTTATGGCTGTGTAAAGTAAAATCCATGTTTGCCACACCGGAAAGACTGAAATCTAAGAAAGGGCTGATCGGCAGGGAGTGAATCCGGCAAAGCCTGAAAAGCCCAATGCTTCTTGATGCATTTAATGACTAACCGTGACCAAATCTTTTGTTTGCCTTTCGTATTACCTTGATTTCTCCAGCAAAGTTGAGGCCCCGGCAAGGTGCTCTGCCCCTGGCTTGCAGCGACAGATGGACATGTTCTGCCTTCCATAGCTGCATATGTTTTGATTTCAGACGTATATGAATATGTCGTTTGTTTGCGCATTTGGAAACGTAGACTAGATGTGTTTTCATGGAGCACCTCCTTCCAATAATTGTTGCTGCTGCATTGATCGTAATTTCCTTCTGCTATTTCATCTATTTCTTAATTTATTTCTCTATCTTGCTCTTTGCCTCCTGTGTTCCATTTCGAGTGCATGATGAAAGAATCCCCGGGTCTTTGGATGTTGGGAAACAGCATTGGCCACGATAAAGATCAAAATCACGGGTTATGGAGGAATCCATCTTGCAATTGGGGAACAGCCGCCAATTCTCCTCACCCATCAATAAAGATGCTTTGCAACAACCACTATAGTCACAGACCTTTACATCCAAACCTTTACATGCAGGCAAAGGGGTCACAAAGTCTCTCTTCACCTCTATATTGCTTCAATGTTGCCGATTGGCACCACACACTTGCTCAATCATCTAACGGTTGGTCAATTGTCTAGTTACGTGGAAGGATGTTTATTTTATTCAGGTTTATTCCTAAAACAGAATCTTTGAAGTCCTTGGTTCTGAAGTCAACCCTCACACCAAACACAGACGTGCTCTACATGATACATTTTTACTGGGTTTTGCTGACATGGGGTGGGATGACGAGCAACAAATGAAGCCTCTGCTGAAGATCGAAGCGTCCTCAAGAGGCCTTCAATCAGCGGCTCAGGCTTCCGACCTACACAACTAACACCGACACCTCTTGAAATGACTCATGCTATGGCAAAAAGTCAGAGCACATGAGTTCCCAACCTCTTCTCACACTTGAGTCCAAAAAATGTGATAGTAATTGATAATATATGTTGATCAAAGTGCGGGAAAGTAAAGTTTGGCTAGTTTTTGAAGACCAAAACATGTCCAGAAATGTCCAAATATTCTCCAACCCATAGCTCCTGGGGCATGGACTTGCCCATACCGGCACAAAAAGCTCTGGATCTGCCAACTTGAAGCGATCAGTATCCTGCAACCAGGAAGTCCTCCCTCCTTGTTATCAAAATCGCCCAAGGAAACAAGACTCGTGGAAGCAGCGGGTTCTCCCAAGGACAGGTACAAGACATGGTAACGGCGTTGATAAGAGGCCGTGCAGTGGTGTAAGATCGACATTCCATCATAAGTGTTCAATTTCAATTTCGTGAGGGTTTTTCAACATTTTCATCATATCATGGTGTTTTCAATGAGTTTAAAACCACGTAGTGTTCACCGAAAATATTGATTTTTGAGCGTTTTACCTCATAAAATGACATTTTTTTATCACAACCCTTGTTTCCGAAACTTTGTGTGACATGAATGTTGACGTAAGAGCCACCTAGCAGTAGCGTAGCATGACATATGTGTGAATGTGCAAGAGAAACTAGCAGTAGCGTAGCATAACGTATGTGTGGAAGAAGAGAAACCTAGCAGTAGCGTCGCATGACGCATGTGTGGAAGTGCAAGAGAAACCTAGCAGTAGCGTAGCATGACGTATGTGTGAATGTGCAAGAGAAACCTAGCAGTAGCGTAGCATGACGTATGTGTGAATGTGCAAGAGAAACTAGCAGTAGCGTAGCATGACGTATGTCTTAATGTGCAAGAGAAACTAGCAGTAGCGTAGGCTAACGTATGTGTGGAAGTGCAAGAGAAACCTAGCAGTAGCGTAGCACGACGTATGTGTGAATGTGCAAGAGAAACTAGCAGTAGCGTAGAATAACGTATGTGTGGAAGTGCAAGAGAAACTAGCAGTAGCGTAGCATGACGTATGTGTGAATGTGCAAGAGAAACTAGCAGTAGCGTAGCATGACATATGTGTGAATGTGCCAGAGAAACCTAGCAGTAGCGTAGCATAACGTATGTGTGGAAGTGCAAGAGAAACCTAGCAGTAGCGTAGCACGCCGTATGCGTGAATGTGCAAGAGAAACTAGCAGTAGCGTAGCATAACGTATGTGTGGAAGAAGAGAAACCTAGCAGTAGCGTCGCATGACGCATGTGTGGAAGTGCAAGAGAAACCTAGCAGTAGCGTAGCATGACGTATGTGTGAATGTGCAAGAGAAACCTAGCAGTAGCGTAGCATGACGTATGTGTGAATGTGCAAGAGAAACTAGCAGTAGCGTAGCATGACGTATGTCTTAATGTGCAAGAGAAACTAGCAGTAGCGTAGGCTAACGTATGTGTGGAAGTGCAAGAGAAACCTAGCAGTAGCGTAGCACGACGTATGTGTGAATGTGCAAGAGAAACTAGCAGTAGCGTAGAATAACGTATGTGTGGAAGTGCAAGAGAAACTAGCAGTAGCGTAGCATGACGTATGTGTGAATGTGCAAGAGAAACTAGCAGTAGGGTAGCATGACATATGTGTGAATGTGCAAGAGAAACCTAGCAGTAGCGTAGCATAGCGTATGTGTGGAAGTGCAAGAGAAACCTAGCAGTAGCGTAGCACGCCGTATGCGTGAATGTGCAAGAGAAACTAGCAGTAGCGTAGCATAACGTATGTGTGGAAGTGCAAGAGAAACTAGCAGTAGCGTAGCATGACGTATGTGTGAATGTGCAAGAGAAACTAGCAGTAGCGTAGCACGCCGTATCCGTGAATGTGCAAGAAACTAGCAGTAGCGTAGCATGACGTATGTGTGGAAGTGCAAGAGAACCTTGCAGTCGCAAAGAACGTTAACATCCCCCCCCACCCCCACCCCCACCCCCCCCCACCCGGTTCACAATCACAATGACAAGAAGAACACACAAAACCGAAAAAATGGAGACAGCACACGGCCCCTTAACAGCGTCGACACCCAAAACATGGGGATGGGTCAGAACCTGTGACGTTCATTGATTTTACCGTGCCATAGTACTGTGCAACATACCAGGATTTGAATCCATGGCCACATCCCATCAAAGCTTCAGTCCTTCTCTGCCATCAACGCTTCCATAAGACTGACCTTGGGATTTTGGTAAAGGAACCCCTCACTGCGCAGAACTCAACTGCGACTGACGGACTTTCGGTCAGCCAAGTCTCACCAAGTCTCACTCATCTCAGCGACATCGAGTCCAGGAAGGAGGGAGCCAAAAGTTGGACAACGGCTCACAAGGGTTCTCAAAAGCGCCCCATGGGGCGAGTTGTCCTCAATTGAGACCTTCGTCTCGACTTCACCACTAAGGCTTTTTCAACACAACGAGAATGAAGCTCTCGACCAAAGCCTTGCCATGCACAGAAATTGGCGCAAGACCGAAATACAAAGAGGATGAAAGGGGATCCTCGACAGGCAACGTCCAAAGGACCTTCCCCAACCAGCAAGTTCGGCAAGTGCAAGTTTTTGGAAGGCATGCATACTCAGGTCATTTCTCGCACGGTGGAGTCGCCCAAACAGCGAAAAACCACCGCGCTCTCCCGGGGCCATAAGACTGACCTCTCAGCACCGTCTGAGACTTTTGTAAATATCCTTGCAACTCTGGCACTTTGGGCTCTAACATCCAACATTATTGTACAACAAAGCAAACTCAACAAAACGTTTAATACACTCAAGACCAAGGGCAAGTACTGGGTATATGTTGGCGGTCCAAAGGCTCTCTGCTGACATGTATGCACACCGCCAGCTTATGGCCAAGCAAGGGCAGAATCGCAAGACTCTAAGGGGCCACGCTGGAAATGCAGCGAAGTGTAGCCATGAGGAGCTAGGGGCAACCTTTTGGCTTTGGAGAATCACTGACAAACACACATTTGTTTAAGACTTCGTACACTGCTGAGGCACTGATTGTGGTACTGATTGATTGGACATATTTGAATTACTGTGCGAGAACGTTGTCTTGTACACGTCATTCTGTCATGAATATTCATTCTTCAGCTCCCTGTCTGCCTCTACCCCCGATGCAGCAACCCCTATTGGCGAACCTTCGTGGCAGCTAGAAGCCTGTTGCCTACCTCAGCACGTCAGAGTGCAGATCATCAGAGTGATGCCTAAAGAAGACCAAAGCAAAGGTGTCCAAACAGGATCTTGGTGGGGGAAAACCAGGTTGGGAATATACGAATATACCAAGCAAGATGAGCAAGTTGTACAAGACCCACAGCAAAGGACGCACATATCTGACCCAGTGCTGACGCAAACCCCGTGCATGCTGGACAAATGCATCTATTGCCTCCAGTGGAAAGCGGTTTTGCTACTAGCGTCTAAACGTCCGCAGGTTTGCAAAGGGCAGAACAAAGCTCTTCATGTGTCTTCCCTCAAAATACCTTACATATTCCCTTGATCAATCAATGCCGTAAATATGTTTCATGACTATATCCTAAACAATTGTATGGCCTTTGAAAATGGCTCATCCAAAGGACAGCGACCTCCGGGTAAGTTAAAGAAGCAAAATCCATGCTGAAGGTGCTCTTTCTAGTAGATGTGAAATGTTAGAAATGTTTCCACTATTTTCTGGATCCTACAAGCACTTAAGTTTTAAAAAAACGACCTGCGGTCCAAGGTGCAGCCACCAACACATGGTGACGATGGAGCAGAGTCGTCAGCTCCTCCAAAAAATATCACCATCTTCAGATCAAACAGAAAGTTTGTTTGGCTACATTAGCGTGGGTCAAAATTGGGTTGAACCATCCGTTTTGGGTGATAATTTTCACCACAAAATATTGTGCCTTGAAGTTTGAGGCCCCTTACAATTTGGCAAACACCATCTAGAATCCACTCCTCATCAGCTAAAGGATACTCGTTGGTTTTTTCCAGTGGTTTGGGATCCCCACTTTCGAGAAAATTCACACCACCCAAACTTCGCCACTTCACAGGTGGTGTACCCCATTTTCAGACACACACAGATCATATTGTAGGTTTATCATATAGATATATATATATATGTGTGTGTGTTACGAACACACCTAACCCTTATATTATACTTGTTTCCTAACCTTCACGTCTGCAAGACCTTATCCCTTACAAAAGTTTACGTCTAACCGTCGTCATTTCCTCACTTTTATGTTTCAATTCATTAACCTCTACGCACAACCCTGCTAACCACAAAACCTCTTTAACCACACATGGCAAAAGCTGAAACAATGGGTCCAAATATTGGTGAAATGTTTGAGGACAATGTCTGTATCCACCAATTTGTTTGAGGACAATTTCTGTGCTGCCCGCAGTCATCGCTTTGGATGTGGTCGCTGCTTTGGCAGCTTATTTTCGATGCCATTTCTTTCCCACCTCAGCTGCTTCTTTGCAAATCTGAGCCGGGAAAAAACCGGGGCGTATATATTTTATATATATGTGATATATGTATTTTGCTTCGCTATGCTATTGCCTAACCTTATGCATAATACCAGTAGTACCGCACAGGGCGGTGGCGGAAGTTTCAAAGATAGGACACTATAGGAGAGGTGACTTGTTGTGATGCACGGATGGCAGAGCGAATCCACTGATGAACGTGGTTGGAGCTGTGTTTTTTGCAGTGGCTGCCATGGTTGCAGTGGTCACCTCACCCACAACTGCTGGATGTAGTGTGGTGTAGTGCAGCTGTAGTTGTAGTTGTAATGTAATGTAATTAGTGTGGCGCAGTTGCATTTGTAGCTGTGGTGTGGCGCAATGAGTGTAGTGCAATGTAATGTAGTGCAGTGTAGTGTGCTGTAGTGTTGCGTCCTGTAGTGTAGTCTAGTGTAGCGTAATGTAGTGTAGTGTAGTGTAGTGTTGTAGTGTGGTGTGGTGTGGTGCGGTGTGGTGTAGCGTGGCATAGTGGAGTGTAGTGTAGTGTCGTGTAGAGTAGTGTAGTATAGTGTAGCGTAGTGTAGTATAGTGTAGTGGAATGTAGTGGAATGTAGTGTAGTGTAATGTAGTTGTAATGTAGTTGTAATGTAGTTGTAATGTAGTTGTAGTTGTCGTTTTCGTTGTGGTCCTTGTAGTTGTAGTGTAGTGTAGCGTAGTGTAATGCAATTAGCGTAGTGTAATTTAATTAGTGTAGCGCGTAATGTAACAGCTGTAGTTGTAGTGTAGTGTATATAGCGTAATTGAGTGTAGTGTAGTGTAGTGAAGTGAAGTGGAATATAGTGTAGTGTAATTAGTGTAGCGTAGCGTAGCGTAGTGTAGTGTAATGTAGTTGTAGTTTTAGTTGTTGTTGTAGTGGAGTGGAGTGGAGTGGAGTGGGGTGGAGTGGAGTGGAGTGGAGTGGAGTGGAGTGGGGTGGAGTGGAGTGGAGTGGAGTGGAGTGGAGTGGAGTGTAAGTAGTGTAGTGTGTGTGTGTAGTGGTGGTTGTAGTTGAAACTGCTACGAAACCCTCACGTTTTGCTCTCTTTTGACAAGGTGCACAATCCCTTGCGCCTGCCACACGAAACGACATCTGAACGTCCAAAAGTGCTCCGGACCCTTTTGCTGCTATTGCTTCGATGAAGCTCACTCGGGTGTATACCGGCAAATTGGGCTTGAGATTGCCGACCACTCGTTCGGCATATGCTTTGGGATGTGTCCAATTCAAAATTTGTTCCCTCCACTTTTCTTCTTGGCGGGTCAGAGGTTCGGCCTCGATGCCATCGTACAAACACCCCCACGATGCCATTGCTTTTTCAGGATCATGCTGCACCACCTTGTTGAGCAATTCCCTCAAGAGCTTGGAACCTGGAGTTCGGCGGCGCCACTGTGCATATTCATAAACAATAGCAGTATGCACAGGATCTAAGGCCAAACCACGTAGGTTGGGAGAGACTGGCTGCAAAGCGCGCAGTAGCTTTGAAGATGGCGAATCGCTCATCACATACAGCACTTGCGCGCAGCCCAAGGTTGACATGCTTCTTTGCAAAGCCTGAGCGACCTCCAAAGCCTCTTCTCCTTTAATCAATTGCATAGCCAACACTGCCCTTGTACAGCCTCTGACAGTCAAGACACGTCTCAAAGCTTCAGTGTCGCCGAAGCAGGCTTCATTTCTGATTGCCGCACTGCTTCTGTAGCTAGCCTGGCCTTTGATGGACATAGCTACTTTCAACGTTGCATCTATGGAAATGCATGTGTATTCAGAGCTGGTTCGAAGGGTCAGATCGATGCTGGTCAGTAGGCTTTGGATAGCTGAGGACATGAAGATATCTTCAACGATGGGCCACCAATGTCGTGTGTGAGTTGGAAACAAATTGCCTAGCTCATTGCCGGCCTCCACACACCGCAAATGCAATCGACCCCAGATGCTTTTCACATTTGCGTGGTGCAACACCAACTCCTGATACAGAATCTCCGCAAATGATCGGTCATAGTATATATTCCGCACTCTGCGAGCAAGCACTGTCACACCCAGCGCACTTTCGTTGCAGTACATGGGCCCTGCAGCCGTGAACAACAGACTTCCAAATGTGCTTTGGCCACAACAGCGTGCACTTTTTCGACATGGCAACTTCCAAAAGTGGTCCGAAGCTAACGTGCTTTGTACTTTTTGACTTCCAAATGTGCTTCGCGCCACCACGGCGGTCTGAAGCTGACGTGTTTTGACTTGAAAATGTGCTTCGCGCCACAACGGCGTCCATTTTCGACATCTCAACTTCGAAAAGTGGTCCAAACATGGTGTGTAAATGTGCTTCGCGCCACAACGGCGTGCACTTTTTCGACATCGCAACTTCCAACAGTGGTCCGGACCTGGTATGGTTTGCACATTTTGACTTCCAAATGTGATTTGCGCCACAACGGCGTGCAATTGTTCATCTCTCATCTGGCCAGATGCCTCCACACCCGCCGCTTTAGCGAGCCAACAAATCATTGAAAAACCAAGTGAATCGCGACTTTGTAACTTTTTGGCGCACCTGCATCTTCTTTCTTCTCACTCTTTCTCTTCTCTGATCTTCTCTCTTCTGCTCTTCTCTTCTCTGACTCTTCCCACCTCTGCTTTTCCATCTGTCCATATTGTCGGAAGTTTGACTTCCAAACTTCCTTCGATAAAAGTTATTGAAAACGCTTGAGATAAGTTTCGAAAAATATAAGTTCCAGATAAAGGTTAGAAAAAAAAACACATCAAGGTTGGCAAGAACGCATGTAAAGGACCGCATCTATAGGGATGGGGGGGATGTTGAAAGTGGAGGATGTTTGGAAGGTTGCCCCGGCGTTGCTCACCCCCCGAAGAGAACAAAGGGGAGGAGGGGAGGATGCTGAGGGGAGAGGTTGTTCTTTGTGTTCTTGCAAGGGGGGGGTGTTGTTCTCAAAGGGGGGGTTGTTCTTGAAAAGGGGGTTGTTCTTGAAAAGGGGGGTTGTTCTCAAAGGGGGAGTTGCTGGTTCAAAGAGGGGAGTTGTTGTTTCAAAGGGGGTGAGGGGAAGTTAGACGGGAAGTTGTTCTAAAAGGGGGGTTACTTTTGGTCGTAAGCAACGCTCCCTAGTCGGTACTAACGCATCTAGCATGTTTTGGCCATTTCTTGCGTAAAAACTCGCTTTTCCAGGCCGAGCAGCACTTTGCGACCACCGGTGGTAAGCAACGCTTTGTGTTTTGTTGTAAAACCATGTCAAGACCATGTTTGTACAAACACACACAGCACGCCAACAAGATGATACTATGTGGTTGGCAACAGTTTGGGGGGTAGGGGGGCAGAATTTGTTCAGAAACTTTTGAGGGCCCACTCCCCTTAGAAATTCCAGGCTCCAAGGGGTAGCTTTTTGGTGAAGAATATTGTGGGGTCGGTCGGGGATGCGGTCGGCAGGTGGGGCAGTTCGTTTGCACGCTGTTTGGTCGATCATCACCTCGGTGCTGGTTGGCTGCGGGGGCGGGACGCGGGTGTAGGGGTCGGTTGGCCGCTTGCTTGGCGGTGGAGGGAGGGGGGCGGTGAGGAAAGGATGGAAACACAACCCCGCCCAGCGGCGTGGCATGACCAGACATGACCAGAAACATTGCACGGAAGGGGCAGACATGCTGCAATGCGTTGGGTCACGTGCAACAGCGTGCAACAGGGAGCAAGCAGGTAACTGAGTGCAGGGAAGCAGCACAATGGGGAGTGCTGGGAGCGCCTACCACTCAGCTATGGCTGCCCGTACGTCGGCAGCATCGAGGTTTGGGAAAACGATCGCTGCCTGGTTTTTTGTCTGCTTTGCATGAAGCCAGTTTGTTCTGGGATCTGCAAAGCAGTCCGACTGGACCCGAGGGCAGGATGGGAATAATCTTCGGATGGAATTTTGGTGAACCACAAGACTTTGACACCGCTGACATTGGTGCCCAAAGTAAGCACGCCGAAGCCCAGCAAGCTCAACGCTTTCAAAGCGCGATTGCTGTGAAAGAGCCCTGTGTCGGCCGCCAGGTTCAACGCTAACACAGGCTTCAGGTGCAAGACGTCATGGTTGCGGAGCAGAGGTCGCTTTTGGGGCTCCAGGGCGGCCAGCATGAAAGTGCGCAGATGCAGCCGGTTGAAGGAGCTTGGTTATTCCAATCTTCAAGCTTGTGCTAAGTTGTGGAGTGGCGAGGCTAGCCGGAAGTGGCGGGTTTTGCATTTCCCGCCCTTTTGGCCGCCTCACGGTACGCCGCTTCCTGTTCGCCTGCTCGGTCGTCGAAGTTGTCCCAGAAAAGCTGCGCTGCATCTGCCTGCCAGCGATACTGCAGCCAGCAGTAGTTCAGATCCGGGACGAAGCGGGTCTTCGGGGGGATGGAAGGGGTGATGAACACAATGCTATGTCCAAAGGTGTTTGGCGAGATAGCCGTGCAAGGAGGCCTCGGCGATACGAGCGCAGGCTTCCTGCAACTCGCTGGACCGCACGAAGCGTGGACGCTCATACGTCATCAGCAACCTTTCCCGGAGCCTCAACGGGTCTTCAACTCCAATCGCGGCTCCCCCCTGCCTTTGAACAACCACCCCCCCTTTCCCTTAAAGAACAAACCCCCCCTTTCGGAAGAACATCCCCCCCCTTTAAACAACCCCCCATCCTTTAAAGAACAACCCCCCTCCTTTCGGAAGAACATCCCAACACCCCTCCTCCCCCCTTTGAGAAGAACATCCCCCCCTTTGAACATCCCCCATCCCTCTACCGAACCGATCTGTGTAAGGGTTACTGGTAAATATCTATCTATATCTTAAATATCTATCAACAATATGTCTGTAATATTTTCATTGGGTGAAAGCAGAAAAATCAAACGACCAGTCCTCCTGTCCACGGCACAGCTGCTCCAGCACCTCACAGCCACGCGCCACTGCGGCGCCCAACGGAGCTGTAGGTCGAGCCTTGCTCGGTCAAGCGACTGGAAAGATTATGTTTGGCGACTGGAAATGGTTTATGTTTGGATGATGTTGGTATGTTTTAACTTTAGACCACACAGTCTTAGGTGGAATATACAAATTTTGACCTGGATCCAGGTCAGTGCTAAAGTTGGTCGGAAGTGATGGATTTCTCAGTACTACGAGATCTAAGTTCGACAAGTGTGTTGACCTTGCAAGTGTTCCGAAAGAATTTCCTTCCTTCTGCCAATCAAGCCACAATATCCGTCTTGGGTGACCTTCTCCTTTATGGATCCTAAACTCCGTTGCAAAACATTTGCGTTGTCTCCATGAGATTCCAACCGGCTGCTTCATCAAGCTTAAAAATTGCCGGAGCCTTGTGCGACGTTGATGGGATTCTTAAGGCGACTGAAAGAATGGTGTGGTTATTTTGCTAACTTGAAGTACCCTGAATCGCCCTTGTACAAGTCAAATGGAACAATGCAGTTTGGCAGTTTTGCCTGTTTCAGCCATCTACAGTGCAAGTGGCTGGGGATTAGTCAACTGGTCTTAATTGCTTTGCTGGTGGGGAATCAACTGGACTTTCCTGTTCCTGGGGGCCAAGCCAATACAGCTTGCCTGTGGCTACCTGCCCAGAGCTAGACATATGGGCATGAGCCAAGTCACCAAGGTAGCAATGGTGAAATTTATACCGTGTCAAATATTCTTAAACCATCAATTTTCTGGGCTATAAATTGGCTATAAACAGAAGTAAAGAATCCTTTGCCCAACCATATATTACACTGGAAACCTGACTCTCCCTTAGACAGTCTGCACTGCATCGCTCTAAATACCGGAAGTATTCATCAACTGTGCATTTGCGAATGGCTTCCATTGCAAGAACCAGCTGGAATAGCAAGTGACTAATTTCTATCCTGTGGGAGGTTTTTGCTGGCCAATCTAGCTTTACAAATCTTATGAATCTTTCCACCGAATATAGGGGTTTTAGAATTTCAGACACTCAACACGGAAGACCACCAGGGTCCAGATGCCAGTCATGGAAGATTCGCTCAGCTTCTGATGGCAACAAGTAAGTTCATGGGATGTAGATATTGCCAGGCATGGCAAATCGCAGCAGATCGAGGCATAGAATGCATAGGCTTTCTTGTTGGTCTGAAAATAAGTTACAGGTCCCTCCATGCCTTATGGTTCACAGATTCAGACTCATAATCCCAAAGGCCCAAAGGCCATTTGGGAAGCAATCCACTGAGCTAGGTTGGGGCCCATGTTTCAAAGTGAATGCTGAACACAAAACTTAGTGTGAAAGAGGTCATAAGACAAAAAAACACGTATGCAAGGATCGAAGGTTGAGGGTCTCCAACATTGAGATTGAACAACACACTATTCATACAAGTGTAGGTCGAGAGTAGCTGGGGACTCCTAGACATCCCAGAGAAATGACTAGACATGCTGTACACCAACGCCATCCCTCTGCTGCAAAATAGGGTGCTCTTGTGAATTGTCCCAAAGTGTTGCGGAGTTCTGCGCCTCTTTGTGAAGCCATTCCCTCAGGGTGAGTTTGTCCTCTGCAGCATCTGCTACTTGAACACCGGAACATCCCACATGAGTGCTTGAGGATGCCCGTATTCAGTTCAAACTGCATTATTCCACATTTAACACTGCAAGATCTGAACGCCCAAGGATTCAAGCTGTTTCTAGCGTACTCCCTTGTATGTTGTTATTGAGAGGTCCTTTGTCTTTAGACCTTTGAAAGGCACTGGAATGAATCCCAACAACTCAGAGTCCCTCCAACTATCTCCTCCTCCTGCAACTGCAGCAGCTCTCCAAGAGCCTTCAGGCATTGGTTTGTCCAAAAATATTGCAAGAAAACACAATGTATTGCAACTTTACTTACTTGGGATCATGATAGTCTAAACCACTGGAATTTTGGGGTGTTCTCAATTCTTTAGACAAATCAAAGGGCCTTTCAGGAACTGCTGCAACATTCTGAGCTTGGGGCTCCCAGGATGCCAGCAGCTGCCTGGTCCAAGTTGGACCAAGTTGGAACATCACCACAAAGACATACAAAAACTGGGGGAAAGCTTCATGTTTGAAAAGATATATCATATATCTCCTTTTTCTATCTTTTTCTCTTGCTTTTTGGTGATAAGTGTCGAAGCTTTTGGATGCGTTTGGCAGTAAAGAAAATCAAATAGGCAATGCTCCTAGTTGCAGCAAAGGTGTTCGGACACCATTTTTAACCTGATGGAAGTCTCAAAGAAGTCCGATACGCCATGTTACGCCATCAGGTTACTGTGCTACGCCATGCTACACCATGCTACACCATGCTACGTCAAACATCATCTGAGGTGCTGAAACCTTCACCAGTTCTGTCGCAGCCACGCCTCCTCCTTGTCCTCTGACCAGCTACCTACCGCAACAGAATACACTGAGTCACCAGCGGTCACCAGATTTCAAAACCACAACCGAGCTTCTCAATTCGAGGCTGCCATGTACATATATGATCATGTAAATATATGAATCATATATGATATGATTTGATATTGTGTATGATCTGCATAGTTCTGTAGATACATACGTATACATTCTTATGTATGTACATGTACCACTTCATCAAAAGTCAATGCATTTGCAGAGGTTCAAGAAAACAACTCGCAGTGCGCAAAGAGCAAGGAACCGCTCACAGAGTTTTCGAGTTGTGGTGCTTTCACAAAGGCTGCAAAGGTTGACGACTCTTTGCACACTGAAATGATGTCCCTTTTCGTGAGAAGTCATTGGCACTTTCCATAAACCGCAACTTGCAACTCCTGTGCTGCAGTAGGTTTTGCAGCATCAGCGTCACACTGCCAGGCCTAACTCTGCAAAGCGCTGGAAGAGTTTCAGCGCCTTATCTGGATAACTGGCATGAGATTGTGCCCTACATGCTCAACCTTTTAGTGTGTTCACAAGCCGTAACGGTTGCTTCAACGCTAAAACCGCCAAAGGTTGATCCACTACTGGATGAAGGGCAACTTTAGAAGAAAGCAGCTAGGGCATCCCTGCAGCATGCTTTGGAATCTTGTTGGCCTCCAATTCAAGGCCTCGGGACAAACAGGTCGCTGTCACAATGAAAAACAAATAAAGCGAAAGTATACGTATGGTAAAACCCGCTGGAAAAGCCAATGCAATGGCTTACTGTAACAGACATCACCATGAGACGCCATGCATTGAGGTAGTCAATGGTTCAAATCAAGCATGAGACACCGAGTGTCAAACATCCTTTGTATAAATTGTGTTTTGTTGTTCTGTTTTGCCCCGGAAAATCATAATCATCCTGTGAGCGCCGAATTAACAGGTCCCCTGGTCATTTGTTTTATTCGACGCCATGCGATGAGTTCTACTTTTCACCATATAAGGAAAATGCAAAGAAAGATGAGGTGACCCAAGATGAGATATGCTGATTTTATGGCAAAGCAAACACCTGCGCAAATACCAAATCTTCAAATAGTTCTACTACATGTTTCATCATTTCAGCCGCAAGCATGACGTAACATCAATGTATGCGGCTTGCAAACTAAGAGCTAACAGGTGATTCTACTGCATAGAAAGCACTGCAGCGATGCAGAAGGGGAAGCGCAAAAGGCTTCACGCGTCCACCCAAAAGGTTTCACGCGTCCACCCCAGAGGCCATGGCAAGGACATGGCAACACATGGCAGCACTGCAATGCATCCAGCTGACAGTTCTGCGTCAAGCATGCAGGGCTGACATGACCAAAATCTGTTGGTTGCGGGAGCAATTGTTTGAATCATACCTACACAAATTGATTAAAAGCACATTGAAAATCACCACCACCATCATCTCTGCAAAAGCATTGGTCAAATCCGCTCGCACCGAAGGTGACGAGGCGTTTTTTGTTTGCATGCATTAACCGGAAGTAATTGAAATAAGTATTAAGGTTTAGCTTGGGGGGGCCTTTATTGCCGTAGAATCCTGTGTTTTCCCAAGTGCTTTAAAGAGACCTAAAATCGGATAAGTTGCCAAATTTGGGCTCAACATGGCCCAACATAGGCCCAACATAGGCCCAACATAGGCCCAACATAGGCCCAACCGGATGAGCCCAACATAGGCCCAACATAGGTCCAACATGCCCAATACAGGCAAACATGGGCGCAACATAGGCCAAACATGGCCCAAGATGGGCCCAACACGCCCCAACATAGAGCCAACATGGGCCCAACATACTCCCACCATGAGCCCTACAAAGGCCCGACATAGAACATATGTATGTACGTACATATATATATATATGGTTTTACCAGTAGTACCGCACAAGGCGGTGGCGGAAGTTTCAAAAATAGGAAACCTATAGGAGAGATTGGCGGTTGTGAATCACGGATGGCAGAGCCAAGCCTCTGATCTATCTATCTATCTATCTATCTATCTATCTATCTATCTATCTATCTATCTATCTATCTATCTATCTATCTATCTATCTATCTATCTATCTATCTATCTATCTATCTATCTATCTATCTATCTATATGTCGTTCTTTCTTTCTTTTTTTCTTTCTTTCTTTCTTTCTTTCTTTCCTTTTCTTTCTTTCTTTCTTTCTTTTCTTTTCTTTTCTTTCTTTCTTTCTTTCTTTCGTTCTTTCTTTCTTTCTTTCTTTCTTTGTTTCTTTATTTGTTTCTTTCTTTCTTTCTTTCTTTCTTTGTTTCTTTATTTGTTTCTTTCTTTCTTTCTTTTTTTTCTTTCTTTTTTCTTTAGTTCTTTCTTTCTTTCTTTATTTGTTCTTTTCTTTTCTGTTCTTTTCTTTTCTTTCTTTTCCTTTCCTTTCCTTTCCTTTCCTTTCCTTTCCTTTCCTTTCCTTTCCTTTCCTTTCCTTCTTCCCTTCTTCCCTTCTTCCCTTCTTCCCTTCTTTCTTTCTTTCTTTCTTTCTTTCTTTCTTTCTTTCTTTCTTTCTTTCTTTCTTTCTTTCTTTCTTTCTTTCTTTCTTTCTTTCTTTCTTTCTTTTTTTCTTTCTTTCTTTCTTTCTTTCTTTCTTTCTTTCTTTCTTTCTTTCTTTCTTTCTTTCTTTCTTTCTTTCTTTCTTTCTTTCTTTCTTTCTTTCTTTCTTATCTATCTACCTATCTATCTATCTTTCTTTCTTTCTTTCTTATATATCTATCTATCTATCTACCTATCTATCTATCTATCTATCTATTTATCTATCTATCTATCCATCCATCTATCTATCCATCTATCTATCCATCTATCTATCTATCTGTCTCTCTCTCTCTCTCTCTGCCTGTCTGTCTGTCTATCTATCTACCTGTCTATCTGCAAGCTTGAAAACTAAGCAAGTCTGCGAGACGTCCTCAATGTTTGACCTTAACAACGTCAAAAACGAAACAATTCTGCAAGACTTCTGCAGTTTTTGAACTTAACAACATCCAAAACGAAGCAATTCTGCGAGACTTCTTCAATTTTTGAACATGACAACATCAAAAACAAAGCAATTCTGTGAGACTTCCTTCAAAAATAGAAAGTTAAGTGCAGCGCTGACAGCCTCGTAACAATGCGTTTTGCGATTTTTCCACTCCACCTGTCTAAAGTATTGCGCCTGCCACGAAAAATTGATGCCAGGTCATACAAAGTGCTGCACCTGTCACGCAAAATCATCTTGGCAAACCTACAGATCTGATGCCCTGACCTCCTAACATCTCTCATGAACATGTCTTTTGTACTGCGCCTGCCACGGAAAATGCATCTTTGCAGATCCTCTTCAAATGCCCCACGCCTGCCATGGTTTTTAGAAATGCGACAAAACCCTCACGTTTTACTCACTTTTGACAAGGTGCAAAATCCCTTGCGCCTGTCACGCGAAACGATATCTGAACCTCCAAAAGTGGCG